TATGTATTAATATTTAAGCTTATTTTATTAGATAAGAATAGATAATATTAACACAGGCTGGAAGGGAACAATTGGATTAGGTGTGATCGGAATACCACTAAAACATTATAATCTCATACCTACATCAATACTTCAATTTAAACGACCTTGTTGGCTAGTTACACATGATGTTATTAATATTAATGGGCAAAAGTTGACATCCAAATATGGTGAGGTATTGGAATTATTAAAACCAGGTATTATCATTACAATGACGTTAACACACGCTGGAGTTTTAGGTAATTAATTTACAATTATATCATGTTGAAAATACACTTTAATAATTTTTTTAGTTTTAATGATAGGAAACACTAACTTGGAGGATTTAGCTATATGTCTTCCAAATAATGTATATCCCATTTTTGACTTATATGGTCTTTGTGAAAAAATATCTTTAATTAATGAAAATGAAATGGTTCGTAACAGTACACCAATAATTGAAGAACTACCAGTTTTAGAACATGATGGTATACATAATAGACATACAGGAGCGTGTGTTCAATGTGAAAAAGCAAATTTAGAAGTACATGAAAAAGAACATCAAGAACTAAAAGTAACCGCTGAACATGCAGGTTTTACTACTACAGCAGTCCAATTAAAAACGGATTAAATTTACTTTTACATGCAAATTGGATAGTCGAATTTGATTGAATCTTAAAAAAAAATATTCTATTATATGCCTAATGTAACTGTATTTACATTTGGATTTGGTTTTGACACGAAAAGGCTGACTAATTTGTTTTGATTTAGAAGCTGCATGTGCAAAATTTTTTTGTTGATGGAATAGTGGTAATTATTGTACTAAATGTACCTTAAGAGGATATGTCTACGAAGTTTTCTGAAATAATATGTTTTTACTACAAAAATGTTCTACATTATTTTGTACAATAGCTTATATTAGCAAAATGCGTTGATTAAAAACTGCACGTATATTCAACTTCACATATTTCAGATTTCCTGGGACACCGATTTGAAAACGGATCTTGTTAGAGTTAACTATTTTGAGCATATTTTCAGGACACCGTATGACTATGTAACTTACATCGAGATTTAAAAAAATTTATAATTTTAAAATGTGTTATCTCGAAAACGGAGTTATGTTGGCGCTATGCAATTTGCACGCACATTATTCCACTTAAGCAACTTAAATTGTTTTATTTTTTTTTAGAAAAAGAGAAATCCATAAGTATAATTTTTATACAAATATAAAACTAAGTACTCTTACATGTACATTATGTCTATTAAACCTTCAAAAATGTATTGCTTGCAAAAGAACGGAAAAATATAACCCCCAACAATTGTTATCCAATGGTGTGCTATCAAATTACAGAGATCAGTAATAATAGCACAAAGTTATTATAATCTATTTTTTTTTTTTGTAATAAAGTGAAATTTATTTTAAAATATGAAATGTGTATAATAAAATAGACAAATATTAATTTATCACTATTAGTTACTTAAAGGTAAAAACACAATAGCACGGCGTCAAAGTGGTTTCATGACTCGTGTCAATTTCGAGACTGTTATGGATTTTTTACAGGGTTCAGAAAAACACTGTGCTGTGCACAAAAATGCAAAACACCACTCACAATTGTTGTGCGATTCTAAATAACATTTCACACCACAAATGTGGTGTACGAAAATTTTGTGCACATCTTGTGTGTACAAACAAAACGCACATTTCACACGAATGTAGTGGAGAGAAATAAAACTCGCACACCAATTCGGTGTTTGTGCCGAATTATTTCGCACAGCACATTGTGTGTGAGGCAGCCAGCTTGCCCTCGCACACAACGTGTGCAGAAAAGAATACAAGGAGCAGGGCTTGAATTGCTTGTAGAAAATTAGCAAAAGCAACCATATTTTGACTAATGCATAAATATTGACCAGTCAATTTTTGTCAGACTAATTGCTAATGCGTTGCATATGAAAATGAAATAGGAATATGCATTAGCAACAGCAAAAAACGCTAACATGTTTCATTTTGATTGCTTGCTAATAGTCAATTTTACATATTTGACTATTATGCGTTTGGAATATATGCAACGTGCTTGCTTATGCGTTAGCTGCTTGTGTTTTGCTATTAGCAAATGTGTATGGATTTCTTCTTTTTGTTTTTGTTTTAAGGAAATGTGTACGCATTATTTCTTTGTTGGTGCATTGAATATAGTTGTGTAAAATTGTAAGTAATGTGTGTGCGTACAATTTGTATGCAATTAATATAATTTTATCTGTAATTAGATTATGACTAAATTCGTTTTTTTTAATTATTAAATTTATGATATATATATACACTTAGCAGAAAAACTCTGCATACAGAAAGTAAATTTTATTTCAACATATAAAAAGTAACTAAATAAATAAATTTTGTAAATCAATTTCATTTTTTATTAGTACTTTTATTTCTAACAGATAAGTAGAAAAATTATATTAATTAAAAATGTAAAAAATCAACGCTATCGATGGCAGAAAAAGTCTGCGTACAAGAGTTTAAAAAGCGTCTAAATAATAATGCTGCGGATTTCTCTTGTTGACAGCTTGGATGGACGCCTAGATCCCAACTTCGAGGTCAATAATCCTGTTTAGTTGTAGTTGTTCACTACTCTTTAGGTAAAAAGATGTGACCACTTAACGATTTGACTAATTTCGCGATACATTTTCCTTTTTTTCCATAGATCAATAATAATACTGCTTCCACTGCTAATAATTTCTTTTCCTTCATTTGCCACTGTAGTATATTCGATCATGGCAACCCTGTATAAAGAAATAGATAAAAAAGGAAAAAATACAAAATGCGTGTTTCGTCGTTGTGCTCAAAGGAGTAAGCGTGCCGTGCCGTAATTATTATTATTATTAATATTAAATTGTAAATCTATATAACTTTAATCAATAAAGTATATTGTATTATATAATTAAAAACATAATAAAATTTGGCGACGAGGATAAAACATTAAAGGATGGCGAAGAATTTTAGTGAATTAAGTCAATATAACGTGGCGTCGGGGAAATGGAAAACATACATGGAACAAATGGAATTTTTCTTTGTTGCAAATGACATCACAGACGCAAAAAAGAAAAAAGCTATCTTTTTAGCTTCATGTGGGACGGAAACCTACATGATATTAAAATCGGTTGCCACACCGATTAATATTTTAGAGGAAAAATTTACATTTGAGGCGGCAACTAAATTATTGACTAGTTATTTTTGTCCGGCAGAGAATATAATAATACAAAGGTTTAAATTTTATCGGAGAAACCAAAAAGAGGACGAATCAATTACCGAATATTTGGCAGCGCTAAGGAAATTGAGCCAAGACTGCAATTTCAATGATTTGGAGGAAATGTTACGGGACAGACTAGTCTGTGGCATGCGCAATGAAAATTTACAAAAGCGGCTTCTGGCGAATGACCAGTTAACACTAAAAATAGCGCAGGAGGAAGCTATAGCATCAGAAACAGCACAAAAAAATGCGACGGAACTTAAAACGTCAGCCAGCCTGCCAGGGTTGAATAAAATTTCAAGCAACAAGGTAAAACCAAATCGTGCTCCAGTGGACTATATTCAGAATTGTTATCGTTGTCGAGGAAATCATCATTCAGATCAGTGCAAATTTAAAGACGCGGAATGTTATTATTGCAAAAAGCGTGGACACATTGAGAGAGCTTGCATAAAAAAAGCAAAAACCAAAAAGCCAGCAACAAATAATGGGAGAAGACCAAACAGAGTAAATCTTTTAGATACAAACCAGAAAACTCAAACGACGGAGTATTTATGGTCAATGTTCGTTAAAGGTAGTCTATCGGTCAAGAGAGTGATTACGATAGGTAAGTCACCGGTACAAATGGAAATAGACTCTGGGGCAAGTTACTCAATAGTAAGTGAAAAGTTATTTAGAGAAAAAATGCCGTATATTCCGCTAAAACCAAGTCCAATACAATTAAGAACTTGGGGAACAGAGAAAAATCTTAAACTGAGTGGAGAAGCAGAAGTACCAGTCTCGGTTGGGAACGTCACAAAGAAACTAAAGTTGTTAGTAGCAGCGGGTGATGGTCCGGCTCTAATTGGTCGAAATTGGTTTAACGATTTGGGAATTACTATAACTAGCAATTTATGTAATATAGAATCAACTATTCCAGTAGAAGTGATGAACTTCAGTTCAGTTTTTGATGGAAAACTTGGAGATTACAAGGGAAATCCTGTGAAGTTACAAATGTCAGTTTCAAGTAAACCGAAATTTCTTCGATATCGACAAGTACCTTTTGCACTAAAACTCAAGGTTGAAGCAACATTAAAGAAGTTGGAAGATGAAGGCGCACTGCGTTCAATATCCTTTAGTGAGTGGGCAACACCGGTTGTACCTATTATTAAACCAGATGGTAGCATACGCATTTGTGGAGATTATAAGTGCAGAGTGAATCAAATGCTTTGCAAGGAAACGTATCCATTACCTACTAATACAGAAGTGCTAGCAGAATTAGCAAATTGTAAGGGGTTTACAAAGCTTGATTTAGATCGATCGTATACACAGGTGAAGGCTGACCAAGAATCAGCAAGGATACTTACATTAAACACACATCGCGGACTTTTTGAAGTTACAAGATTACCGTTTGGAATTTCAACGGCACCAGGTATATTTCAACGGGTGATGGAAGGAGTTCTTAAGAACATAGATGGTGTGATTATTTATTTAGACGACATTCTAATTGGCGAAATAACTTTGGAAGAGTTGTGGGATAGAACACGAACTGCTCTGAAATGTGTACAGGATGCAGGATTGAAGCTTAAAAAATCAAAATGTGTTTTCGCAGTACAAGAGATAACATTTTTGGGGTTTAAGATAAGCCGAGAAGGAGTGCGTCTAACTGACGAAAAGGTGAAGGCAATAGGTCAAGCACCAGAACCAATAAATAAACAACAGCTACAAGCTTTTCTTGGGTTAATTACATTTTATGATAGATTTTTACAGAATAAGGGCGATCTATTGGAACTGCTGTATCAACTATTAAGAAAAGAGATACCTTTTAAAAGGAGTAGAGAACAGAAATTAAGTTTTGAACGAGCAAAGAAACTACTACAATCAAAAAATTTGTTGGTGCATTATTCGACTGACTTATCACTGATATTATGCGGAGACGCATCACCGTATGGAGTTGGCGTGGTTTTGGCACACAAGATGCCGGATGAAAGTGAAGCACCGATTGCTTTTGGCTCCAGAACATTACAGGGCGCGGAACGAAATTATTCACAGTTGGATAAAGAAGCGCTAGCGATTATGTTTGGTGTGCAAAAGTTTCTTCAATTTTTAAGTGGTAGACAATTTACAATAATGACTGATCATAAACCACTAGTGGGATTATTCAACCCAGAAAAACCAATATCACAGCATATATCACCCAGAATGTTAAGGTGGTCGTTAAAGTTAGGCGCTTCCCAGTACGAGATTAAATTCCGAGAAGGGAAACATCACCAGAATGGAGATGCATTGAGCCGGTTACCTTTAAATGATGTAAAGCTACAAATACCGGAAATACCTGAAATATTATATTGCAATGAGGTTGAGGAACAGTTTTTAATCACTGCGAAAGACATTGCACAAGCAACCAGAAGAGATCCAGTACTATCAAAAGTAATGTGGCATATCTAAAGGAAAGATACAGTTTTGCCATATAAATCAATTCAGTTTAAACCGTTTGTGAATAAAATCCAGGAACTATCAGTGAATGCACAATGCTTGTTAGGGGGAGGCAGGGTAATAATACCAGCAATACAACGTCCCAGAATACTTGAGATGTTGCACGAAGTTCATCAAGGCATGTCGGCAATGAAAGCAGTGGCGCGAAGCTATTTTTGGTGGCCTGGTTTAGATGAAGATATAGAAATGTTAGCCAGACGTTGTGAAAAGTGTGCATGTAATAAAAAGAATCCTCCAGTAGCAGCAGGTAAACCATGGCCAGCAACACTAAGGCCATGGTCCCGGTTACATATTGATTATGCGGGACCCTTTATGGGTACAAATTTTTTATCGTCGTAGATGCTCATAGCAAGTAGGTAGAGGTAAAAATAACCAGTACAATAAATGCGATTAGAACAATCGAGTTAATGAGAGAAATATTTGCAACACACGGAATACCAGATACCATTGTGTCCGATAATAGGCGAACGTTTGTGTCAGAAGAATTTGAGAAATATTTAAAACTTAGCGGTATAAAGCACATACGTACGGCACCGTATCATCCATCGTCAAACGGGCAAGCAGAAAGGTTTGTACAAACCATTAAGAATCACCTTAAGAAAATGCAGTCGTCAGACATCAATAAGAATTTGGCAAATATACTTTTGCATCTGCGTACAACTCCTAATGCAAATTCAAATTCGAGTCCAGCAGAAATCTTGATGGGAAGGAAGTTGAAAACATTGTTAGATCATTTGCACCCCAGTGATGACAACACTCAGAAGCAGCTAAATTCTGATGAGTATTCCAAACAAATAAAACCAGTTCGCAGTTTCCAGTGTAGTGAAAGTGTTTGGTACCGAAATTTTGGAAGAGGTGAAAAGTAGATGCCAGGGATTATACAATCAACAGGAGATCGCAACTACAAAA